TTCTGCATGCACCGGAGTCAGGCCCGGACTTGCACTGCAGGGCTAGCACCTGGCACAGGACATGTGGAGATAAGGCTTGAAAGGGTTTGAAGATTTAGGGTCTAAGGAACATAGTGGTTGGGGAGTTTTCGTGCAGAGGGATGCAGCTGACACCTTGGCATTGCAATGGGCATTGATGCTCAATATAGGTACAGTCCTGCAGTCCTGCTGTCGCCATGCCTAAACCCAAGACCATCAAGACCAAGTTGAAGAAGAAATGGGCGAGACTACCAGGAAATAAGGCTGCAGTTCAACAGAAGATGACCCAGTCCAAAAAGGTCGAGAACATTGCCTATGCTCGCACTTCCTCATTCGGGAAAAAGGTGCAAGGTTCCCGGGCAAGGCAAGTTTCGCAGTGCATTCAGGCTGCAGAAAAGCAAGGCATGCAGGTTCACTCGGCAATTGCAGAGGTCATTTCTGGATATGTCAAATACGACCAGCGAGCAACCCTCAAGCAGATCCTGGAGCGCAAACTACCCGGCATGCCAGAGGAGAGGAAACGAACAGTCCATGTGTTTGTGGAGAGTGTCCGTGCTTTGGCGAGGAATGCAATGGTGGGTGAGGAGATCTATAAGCAGAGCAAGAAGAACAACATCAACATCATTCCTCAAGACTATCCGACATTGTTCAGTCACAGTGAGACTCCTACCGGTAATTTTATTCGAAAGTTGATTTGTTCCCTACAAGAACTCGATCGAGACACACTCGTGTGGCGCCTTCAACAAGGTCGGGAGAACAAGGCCAAAACAACAACATTGAGGACTCAGTCAGGCAAGCCCAAAGTGAATGGAATCAAGAGCTACCTCGAGGATCTGCAACCATCCAAGAATGTGCAAAAGAAGATTGTGGCCCTGGGGAAGAAAAGAGATCGGGGTGACTTTGGATGGAGACCCATGGCAAACGAGGTTAGCAAGCTCCTGGGTATGAAGCAGTCCCTGCCACATGAGACTGTCCGTCGAATGTACAATGAGATTCTTAACAAGAAATGAACATGTACAGTCCCCAGTCTTCAGTCTTGCAGTCCCTCGGTGCTGCACCTCCATTGGTTGATGCAGCACTGCAGTCTTCGCACCGGCCACCTGGCCAAGGTTAATGCATCAGAGTCAGCAGATATTCTGAAGCCGCCAATGCCGTGGAACTGCAAAAATGCTCATTAGATCAGTTCATAATGATGATTACAATTCCAGACCCAGACAGATCCCGAAAACCTAGTCCCCCACTACCATAAAAAGCAGAAACCTCAAGCCCTAATTAAACCCTAGGAACATCACCCAGGCTTTTCCGAGTATGAGTGCTGAAACCCTTACATTGGCTGAAACCCTGAACACTAAATTATACCCACCCTCCCGAACAAACCCACTCAGTATAAACGGTCTAGATGTTGACTCCGGATTTTAGATACTGGCAGCAATATGTTCACTTAAAAACCCACACCAAGCACCGGTCCTACCTGCCCATACCTAAAAGCTTAAACCCTACATCCTAAGAACCAGTAAAGACCAACTCATGTGAGCCCCAACTGGCACCCACACCCTCAGCCCTGTATAACCCTGAACCTTAAACTAAACCCGAAATCCCTTGCTCACACCTGCAGGCCACTTCTTGCCGCAGTTCAGCAGGCGCTGCCTCCGGGGTGAGGGCTTACTGGGTGTCTGAAAATTCAGTTAGTAGGGGGTTCAGCCTTAACCCACAAGTAAAAGCAAGATTTTCAGGTTTCATTATGGTTTCTGCTGTGAGAAATAGGGTGATTAAGTTAAGGCAGTAGGAGCATACAAAAGCAATTATTAATTATTAAGAATTGAAGACTAAATCGTTTGATCCAGTACTGTAAACCTAATGCAGTACATTTGACCTTCAAATCTAAATCGCGAGGACCGACATCCCTCCAACCTATTAACCCAACATCCCTGAAGCCTATTAAACCTACATCCCTGCATTACTGTCTAACCAAACAACAGTAACAGTGAATACACCCCCTAGATCATTACCACACCAGGGCAAACTTTCTCTAATTTTGTGAGAAGTTATTAACTTAAAAGTAGAACACACCAACAAACAATACATCCTGCAGCTGTGCAATGCTACCTGAGCCCTAAACCCTAAGCCCCTAAACCCTAAACCCCTAAACCCTAAACCCTACACCCTAAACCTTACTAAACCTTGAACCCCTAAAAAACCTTGAATCCTAAACCCCTAAAACCCTAAACCTTAAATACCCTAAACCCTTAAAAAAAAACCCTAAACCCTAAGCCCCTAAAAAGCCCTCAACCCTAAACCCCTACAAAATCCTAAGCCCTAAACCCTATATCTTACAACCCACACGGCCCTTTGCCCCCACATGCCTCGAAGGTTTTGTGTCTCCGTGGCAGCAGCGCGGGCGATGTTCGGAACTCCGGCCTGTACCGGGTTCAGGGTGGGGGGGTTCAGGGTGGGGGCCTTAGGGATGTCGAGCTCTTTAGGTTTAGGGTGCTTAGGGTTTTAGAGCATCTATCGGTAGTTCATTGTGCTTTAAGCACAAGGAAGACCCTATTTACCCTAAGCACCATAAGATCCCCGAGATGCTAGAACAATGAAACCCAAAAAAAAAACACACTGACTACTAAGTGCTCAGTAAACCCTAGTCACCCGAAGCCTACTCCAATCCTACCATGTAAAGCTTAGGGTTTAGGGAGTATCGATCTGGTGTGTTTATCAGGGTTTGTTGAGGGGAGGTGGTTGTTTGTCAGTTATTTAAAGTTGGATTGCTGTTGTTTTGAGGTTGCAGGATTCTGCAGGGTTCTGCACAAAGAATGGTTACAGTTATTCTTGTGTTTTGTGCATTGAAGATTTGAAGGACTAGGAGTGTTTGCTTATTATTAAGTGTTTTCATCCACCATACAGAATGGGAACAAGCTTAGCTTGTGTTGTGAATGACAATGATGAGATGTTGTGTTTATAAATGTTTGGTTTTAGTTACCAACCACACAACACAAATGGCTCGATGGGCTCGAAGTCGTCAAGGCTGCAGAATAAGTTGCAGCGTAGTGGTCGCAGCTCTCTTGATGAAGCTCTGCTGCGGGTATGTCAGTGAAGATCCCATCGAGCTTGGACTGGAGGTCCAGCTCTTGCATTGTTGGGGATCCGTCTCCTCAGACTCGTCTTCGTCTACACTGATAGGAGGCTCGGGCTCGTGAACCATCGGCTCTTCGGGAACTTCGGGCCGCATATGGGCGCAGAAGTATTCAGTGTAGGGAAGCCCACGGTTAGTGACGCACACAGTGCTATTCGCTTCCTGCAGCACCACTCGACTCGGTGCCAATCGATGAAAAAAAAACCCTAAGTTTAAACCCCTATGAAGCTTATAAGATCTTAAGACTGCAGGACTGGGGACTGGGAAATGGGCTTACTTTAGGTTCGGTGTGATCGCCACCCAATGACTCTGTCAATTAGTAAGTTAGGACCACTCAGTGTCCATCAATCCAAAGGTATACTAAAAGTAACAGCCCAATGCTCCAGAACCCACAAGCTCTACATCTTGGTCAGAATACTCCGAAATCTTCAAATGCACTAAGAATTATGCTTAAATTAAGGGTTTTAGGGTTTAATGTCTCCCTAATAATTTGCCTCAAAGAAGGGGTTTTAAGGATCTGTCTTGGCAAAGAAATGAAGCTCACTGTCAAAGGGCCTTAAGGGGTTTTAGGGAAGGGAGCCCTGGGTGGTGAAGACTCAGACTGGGGCTTAGAATCACTTCATGAAATTTATTCAGGGTTTTAGAGTCAGTCCAAATTAGAACCTCCAAAACAAAACCCCTAAATCAAAAGCCATCCAGACCTCAACCTAAGAACCCCAATGCACCAATAAGCTTGTGCCTAAAGCCTAATAATTAAGCCTCAGTAAACAACACGAAACCCTAAACCAAAATCACATTAAACTATACCCATCAAAAGCACCCAAAACTCTACTAATCTGAAGAACCCCAGCCAACCGAAAGCTCCTAATTAAATGCTAACAACCTTAATCTTAACCCCTAAGGACTGCACGGACCTGGCCCGGCGCATTGTGGTGGTGGCAGGTGCCCTGCATGCAGGGCTATTTAGGGCTTTAGATTAATAATGGTTGGAGATTTGGGTGTCAAGGGCTTTAGGGCATTAGGGTTTACAGTTTTGATTGATTTTGGTGTCAAGGGCTTTAGGGCATTTAGGGTTTCGGGTTTTAAGGGCTTTAGGGCTTTCAGGATTTTGGTGTTTGGACTGTTTGGGGTTAGGTGTTGACAGAGGTTGCTTGGATGTGGTTGGTTTACAGAGCTTCAGGGTTAGTGTGTTAGGACCTGTGGGACCTGGAGTGTTAGGGCTTCGGGTATCATACTTTGGGACTTTGGGCCTTCACATAGTTTAGGGCTGGGGGTGGTACTGGGGGGGTGGGGGTTGGGGGGGTAGGGAATTTAGGGTCTGTAGGGATTGTAATTATTGGGGTTTGGGGCCCTTCGGGTTTGGAATGGCTTGGGGCTCGGAGCTTACTACCCTATCCTAATTTAAATCCAGTAGTAATGAAATAAACCCTGCCAAAACCCCTGTAAACCCCGAAGCCCTATTACTAAGCAGGCTCTTTTTGTGCAGCTCCTTTGCAGGGCATCGGCCAAAATGGGAGGCAGGTTGAATTGCATCGAATGTTCCTTCACCTTCATTACTATGTATCAAGATGTGACAATAATTTATTGTTGCCATATTAAAGACATCACTTTAAAATACCATCACATTCGACCTTGTGTAGCCAGGGGTCTTTGCTAACCTCATAGCTCATGGTGTTGCGAGCCATAGGGTCGCAAACTCACTTATCCGATGTGCATATCACTCAGTCGTCCTTCCCCATTGCACAGTGCACCAGTTACTACTGCAAGACTGCAGGACTGTCTGTGAATATTGACGTACAGAAGCTAATTCCAGCATTCTGCTTGCAAATGGGGACTGAAGACTGAGGACTGTCTAGTACTGTGCGTACTTGACAAATCTCAACAGCTCCTCAGGGATCGTCGTGTTGTCCAACTTAGATCGCACTCACAGAGCTTCAACTCCAAACATCATTTAAAATTTGTCAAGCCAAGGTGCTTTGATCAAAGTCAAAGATGGCCTGCGCTGGGAGTGCCGGCCTGGTTCGTGGGTCCTGAGCAAGGTGGGTCTGGGTTGTAACAAAAGAATCACTTAAATTAATTATGTGACTTCGGAATTAGTTAGAAGCGAGGTGCATCTCGAGAATGAAGATCTTGCGCTTTCGAAACTCTGGGGTGGCAACACCGATGCGGTTGCAAGTCCATTTCCCAATTTGCATGTAGGATTTCTGGATTCCAGGAATGGACTGTATGCACCAATTCGGCTTCAGGACTTCGCGCTCGGCATACTCTGGGTTGAACTGCGACTTAGTGGCTTCCAGAATCAGGCTTTATTGGGGGTTTAGAAATCAGGGTTTATTAGGGTTTGAGGGAACTGTCTAACAATAACAAACCGACCATTCATTCTCAAGCAACATTGTCCGCGGGCTGCCAGACATAGTTGTCCCCGATATGAACGTAGCGGCCGTTCTGCTGGCTCCTCGATTGCAATGTCAGGTTAACTAGGTAACTAGTCATCATTCAACTTCAATGTCATTGCATCCTAAAGCTTCCACGGCACCGGACGATCTTCCAAAAGCTGACTGTGCGAATGCCATTGTCGGTATCCGGAGGGGTGTACCTTAGTGTAGGTTTAGGGGTTTAGGGTAGCTTAGGGTTTAGGTAGCTTAAACCCGAAATCCGTACTCATAGCCCTAAACCCCAAACCACAGCCGAAAGACATTGCCCAGATGAAGGTTCCATTAATCGGAAGCCACCATGACCAAAGATCATCAACATCGAAGAAGTCGTCCACTCCTGAGATTCAGTCATGGTTACTAGAAGATCAGATGTAGTACTACTATTACCACCACAATCAAAACCACCACCCCCTAAACCCTGAACCCTTAAAGCATATTGAACCCTAAAGCCACGAGTTAAGGATCCCTTTAAGGCTAGAGCTGGTTTTGGGTTTTAGGGGTTTTGGGTTATTGTGATGGAAGACATGAGTGTTCTGTCCTAGTAGTCATAGTAGTAGCCGTAGTAGTACAAGTAGTAGCAGTAGTAGTTGTAGTGGCAGTAGTAGTAGTAGTAGTAGTAGTAGTAGTCCTAGTAGTCGTAGTAGTAGTAGTAGTAGTAGTAGATAGTAGTACCAGTTGGAGTGTGAGTACTAGTACTGCTACCAGTACTAGTAGCTAGTACAAGTGGTCGTAGTAGTGTTGTCTCAGCTAGCAATAGTAGTACGGGCCGGAGTAATAGTAGTAGTAGTAGTAGTTGTTGTTGTTGTTGAAGAAGTAGTAGTAGTAGTAGTAGTAGTAGTAGTAGTAGTAGTAGTAGTAGTAGTAGTAGTAGTAGTAGTAGTAGGTAGTAGTTGTTGTACTAGTATGTAGTATCGGCAGCAGTAGTTGTAGTAGTAGTAGTAGTAGAAGTAGTTGTAATAGTAGTAGTAGTAGTAGTAGTAGTAGTAGTAGTAGTAGCAGTAGCAGTAGTAGTAATAGTAGGGAAGTAGCAGTAGCTTTAGTGGTAGTAGCAGGGAGTAGATGTTGTTGATGACGAGTCGCGGAAGTCATCCACCTGGGCAGTCAGGACTGCGAACTCCGATGTGCTGTATTCACCACGAGTGTAGTCAGGAACGTAGTCAAACGGACATCTCCAGCGCGCCCAGCCATATCCAAAATACTGGTCCAAGAACTGCGAGACTGTCTCCTGAAGCAGAGTCCACTTGAACAATGTTGCATGAAGCCCTCAGTCCTACAGTCTTGCAGTCATGTATCTCTTCTCGACGGTGGTGCCAGACTGTCTTCGACAGACGTAGGGAAACAGCGGGCCAAGATGAGAGCATCGCACATCAGCATGACGATTTCGGAAACCTGAGGGTACATGTGAAAACTGAAACAATCATTGTGACAAGTGCTCGTCACTTGATTCAGTTAAGCAGCGTGTTTGGTCAAGTTGTAGCTCAACCCCGTAGGGTAGAAGTACTCCTGCTGGCACTGGGAGAAGCCCTCGAAGCCCTTCTGGCAGTAGTGGTACAGCAAGGCCGGGGTGCAGGGGACCTCATTCCTGCCGACTGCCTCAGGATTATCCAGCACTGATGGTGTGTAACATCATTGAAATGCCAACATGACCGATGCAGCAAAGCTTCCTCCAACCAGGCTGCCATTTTGTCCATCTGGACTGGTTCCCGAATGAACTCCAGCATGCCTCAGAGAAACTCTTGTCACATCGGACATGCTATTGACATTCCATGCACACACCCTAACTGCCAAGTAACTCTCTGCTTTCATGTTCTTGGGCAGTGAGGAGGGACTGTAGGACTGCAGGACTGTCGCTGCAATGTCCAACCCACCACGGCCTTTGTTTTCAAGTAATCAGCAATGGCTACAACAATCAACAAATGCATTTGCTGTGCAATGTTTTCGTGCCAGCAAGAATCATCTGAGAGCAGATTCTGTCACAGTGGAACCAACCTCCACACTGTAAGTCGCATGACGTGGAACGGCTCGGCCCAGCCAGGAAAACTGCATTGTGGGCTCTGAACGGAACACCCCCGGAATGTCCAAGTGTGTCCTCATCCAAAAGCGAGACAAGGACCGGTGCACCACAACTACATGTCGTCAAACTCAAGAGTACACATAAACACAGTCCTCAAATGGTACTGCAACAACTCCCAGTCGATCAGCGCATCATTCTCCACAGCAGGACCGGGGACTGAGGACTCCCCTCTCTCTGCTGCAAACCCCTCGTGCAATGCCTGCTCTGGGACAGCAGGACTGAGGACTGAAACCTCATCGGGAGCTGTCGGGGTAGCTGGCTCATACCCATACCCACTGCTGCCTGCAGCATTCGACCTGCGGAGTTGCGAGGGTTCTCCACGTGTCTTCATCTCGACCTGGAGTTTGGCCTTGAATGAGTGAGCACTCATCTCCAGTTGTAGCTCGGAGGCATCCCTGGTCAACAGTGTGGTCGCCTGAACAAAGCATGTGTAGCTCCATGTTCGGACTTTCATGTCATGCAATGTGTGCATCTGAAAGATTGTAGGGCCATGACTATGGTGCCACTGGCAATCCCGCTTTCCCCAGTCATGTTCTGCTTGTGCAGAATGAACAGCAACATCTGATGATCACGGAGGTTGAGATATCCGGCGCAATTCCATGCCTCAAACTCTGTGGGTATGGACTGCATGCAACCAAACTACAGTGACACTCAGCTCACTTGACAGCAATCACAACGTATTTCAGAACCCCACCGGTGTAGGCCCATTGACAGTTTCCGTGCGTGCTTGCACAGGACCGTTGGGACCGTTGCCATGGACCGTCCTAAGTATAGTCAGGAATCAAGACTGCTGTAAGTTAACCTTTGCATGCATCACTCCAAGGACCAGCCAAGTTACACAAAGAACGGACCCTTCTCGGACACACCAATCACTGTCTTGATTTTGTAGTCGACAGTCAAATTGGCAATGGAGTCTGCCATTGCACACAATGAAAACGAGTCTCCTTGATGTTCTGGAGCCCGAGTCTGCAGCTACTGGAGGTTGTCATGTAGCAGTCAGCAAACAGCAGCAGTGGCAGGAGATTGCAAGTACAGTAGTGAGTGGCAAGTGGTACTACATGCTGTTGGTGGAATTGTTGTAGCAGCAGCAGTGGCAGTAGCAGTAGCAGTAGCAGTAGCAGTAGCAGTAGCAGTATCAGCAGTAGTAGTAGTAGTAGTCGTCGTAGTAGTAGTTAGTAGTAGTCGTAGTAGTAGTAGTAGTAGTAGTAGTAGCGGTAGTAGTAGTAGTAGTAGCAGCAGCAGCAGCAGTAGTAGTAGTAGTACTAGTAGTACTAGTAGTACTAGTAGTACTAGTAGTACTAGTAGTACTAGTAGTACTAGTAGTACTAGTAGTACTAGTAGTACAAGTAGTACTAGTAGTACTAGTAGTACTTGTAGTAAGAGTAGAAGTAAGAGTAGTAGTAAGAGTACTAGGAGTAGTAGCAGTAGCAGGAGCAGTAGCAGTAAGGAGTAGCAGTAGCAGCAAGGAGTAGCAGCAGCACTAGCAGTAGCCGAAGTAGTAGTAGTAGTAGTAGTAGTAGTAGTAGTAGTAGTAGTGTCAGTAGTAGTAGTAGTAGTAGTAGTAGTAGCAGAAGTAGAAGTAGTAGTAGTAGCAGCAGCCTATTCTACCCGTATCGCAAACCATGGTTTTCGAGACACCACAAGCTTTGCAAGACATTTACGATACACCTTATTGCAATTCTATTGGAACCCCTAAACCCTGAACCGAACAATGTGACCGAGGCCGGGCCTGTGAGTTCCCGGTGCTCTAGCACAGCAGCAGAGCGGCAGCCGCTGTGGACGAAGGGCGGGCTATGGCCCGGGGGTGTCTGTGCAGTCCTACAGTCTAGCAGTCTTACAGCAAGACTGAGGACTGCCCTGAGCCCTAAGCCCTATATAAACCTCCTTAAAGGGGTGACTAGGGTTTTGAGCTGTTCGGCAGCTCAGCGCCTACAGTAGGGCATCAGGTTTGGAGTTAATTAGGTTGGGTTTAAGGGGCCTTTGGTCCTGTGGCCATACCAAGACTTGTGATCTTAAGGTCCTAATTAGGTCCTTAATTAGGGTTCGGGGTATTAGGGCTTAATGGGTAACTTAGTTCAAGTTGCATCGGAGCGCTGCCACCTGGAAGCTTCTTGGTTCGGGTTCGGGGGCTACCTTTGTCCAGAGCCAGCTGCTGCCTCGGAAGGGGGCTTGGGTTGAGCCTCAGAAGTCCTATAATTATGGGTTAAGGTTTGAGAATAAAGTGTATTTTTGCTGGTATGTCGGGTCTGAGAACTGTGTCGGGGTAGTTAGCTGAGACTTCCGGTTTCGGAAGTGTTTGATAGTTCGGGTCTGGGAACTGTATCTTACCTGAACATCCGGTCTGAGAGCGCGTGCTAAGGGAGGTATATTTTATTATCTGATAACTCGGGTTTGGGAAATGTCTGATATGTGCATCTTCACTGACAAATAGGGACTGAGAAGTGTATCATCACCTTGTAAGTCGGGTCTGGGAAGTACATCATTAACTGGTATTTCGGGTCTGAGAAGTGATAATTAGGGTCTGGGAAGTGCATCAATACCTCATAATTCGGGTCTGAGAAGTGTATCACTACCTCATAATTTGGGTGTGGAAAGTGTGTGATGAATGCATCTTAGGGTCTGAGAAGTGTACCATAACCTCATATTTTTTGTCTGGGAAGTGTGGCATTATCTCGTAATTTGGGCTTACATTTGGGGTCTGAAAGTCTGAGAAGACTCTGAGAACCTTTTAAATTGTAGTAGGGTTTTAGGGTTTAGGGTGTAGGGCACAGCAAGACTGAAGACTGCAGAATCTTGTTCAATACCCTGTGACCTCAAATATCTCAAAGTGACAGACCGACCATAAACCTGAGACCTAAAGTACTAAAGTCCAACTCTATCGTTATTTTCCGAACGACACCGGAAACCTCAATGTGAAGCCCGAAATCTGAAGAGGAGGCTCAACCTTAAGACCGCCCTGAAGACACTCGTCTGAAGTCCGAATGACGCTCCCGGCAGCCCTCCAAACTCAGGGGCTTTCGCCCCGGTGTATGTTCTGGTGCCATGCATGATGATGTTCTGAGAATAATTAGTAGTTTAATAACAAATTGTTATTAAACTACTACTAATTATTCTCAGAACATCATCATGCATGGCACCAGATAGATTATCATAGTCCCGAAAGTAATCACCGTTCAAACCCGAAGTGCCAAGCCAACTACAAGCGCAATTATCCCAGTCCGAATTCCAGTCCGAAAGACTCAAAACCCTAAACCCTAAACCCTCCTTACTTCCAGAACATCACATTGCCACCTCCCCGGAAGCCGAAATAGAACTACATCTCAACCCGAAAAGCTAGACACCCCAAACTTGAACTATATCCCACACCCCAAAAAGCCTTAAAGGCTGTGTTGGGTTTTAGGGTTTTGGGGTTTGTAGGGTTGTTAGTGCTGCTGGGTTTTCATTGAAGATGCTTGGGGATCTTAGGGTTTTCTGGACACCGAGAAGTACAATAGTAGGGTTCTTAAGGTGTTGTTCTATAGTAGGGTTCTTAGGGGCTTTAAATAGTAGGGTTTAGGGTTAGCTTCGACATCCAGGCGGGCATGGGCTTCTGGACTTGGGATTTCAGTGGGCTTGGCTTCAGAACCCTAAGCCTAAACCCTAAACCTAATTTTCGAGCCCTACAACCCTAAGTGTCGAGATGATGTTGATACTGCATGAGTAAGACGATTGCTGAATGTTGCTGCTGCTGGTGAGGATAATGATGATGGTGATGATCTTGATGGTATGATAAGGATGCGATGATGTAATGATGCTGGTGGTGATGATGTTGTGATGATGGTGGTGACAATATAGATAACCATACTGCTCCATGATGATCATGTTGATGGTGATATGGTCTCGTATGATGTACTGGCATGCATGATGTGCTATGGTAATGACATGATATGATACGGCATGGTAGGGTACAAAAACATATGGGGTTTCCGAAAACAGAGGACCATAATGTAGAACCCTAAATATAGTATCCTAATATAATATAGTATTCTTATTTTCTACATCATGGTCCTCTGTTTTCGGAAACCCCATATGTTTTTGATATTTGAAGGCTGTGGGGCCTACCTTCATGTTTTTTTTTTTTGATTTTTTTTCGTTTGTGTTTTCCACCAACCCCCCAAACATTGGTATCTTACTTACCTTTTGCTGATATCTTAGTTGTGCCCCCGAGCCCTTCCATTTGTTTCAAGTTATCGCCGATCCCTTTGTTTCAGAATCACAGCCGAATTCCAGACAAATCACTGCCACATCAGAACTGGATCACAGCCTCTGAGAAATCGCCGATCCCCTTGTTTCAAGCTCGGACCACAGCCGAATCACAGGCACATCACACCCGAGTCAGAATCAAAGCCTTTGAGAGTTCGCCTCCGCTTGTTTCATGCTCTGAGAAATCACCGATCCACTTGTTTCAAGCTCTGAGACATCGCGAATGCACCTATTTCATTCTCAAATAGTGTCTTCAGAAACATTCATTGGAACTAAGATGACTTGTTTCGAACTCTGAGATGCACTTGCCAATCCATATATTTCAAGTTCTGATACATCGCCGTTCCGTCTCAGATACACAGCCGAATCCCAGCCAAATCACTGCCACATCAGAACCTGATCACAGCCTCTGACAAATCGCCGATCCGCTTGTTTCAAGCTCGGACCCAGCCCAATCACAGCCCCATCACGCCCAGATCAGAGCCTTTGAGACTTCGCCGACCCGCTTGTTTCATGCTCGGACCACAGCCGAATCACAGGCACATCACACCCGAATCAGAATCAAAGCCTTGGAGAGTTCGCCGATCCGCTTGTTTCATGCTCTGAGAAATCACCGATCCACTTGTTTCAAGCTCTGAGACATCGCGAGTGCACCTGTTAAATAAACTCTGAGAAATCTTCGATCTGCTTGTGTCCATCTCTGAGATATCAGCGACGAAAGTTCTTTCTCAAACAGTTTCTTCAGAAACCTTCATTGGAACTAAGATGACTTGTTTCGAACTCTGAGAACTTGCCAACCTATGTATTTCAAGTTCTGATTCATCGCCGCTCCGTCTCAGAATCACTGCCACATCAGAACCGGATCACAGCCTCTGACAAATCGCCGATCCGCTTGTTTCAAGCTCGGACCACAGCCGAATCACAGGCACATCACACCCGAATCAGAATCAAAGATTTTGAGAGTTCGCCTCCGCTTGTTTCATGCTCTGAGAAATCACCGATCCACCTGTTTCAAGCATCGCGAATGCACCTATTTCATTCTCAGACAGTGTCTTCAGAAACATTCATTGGAACTAAGATGACTTGTTTCGAACTCTGAGATGAACTTGCCAATCCATATATTTCAAGTTCTGATACATCGCCGTTCCGTCTCAGAATCACAGCCGAATCCCAGCCAAATCACTGCCACATCAGAACCTGATCACAGCCTCTGACAAATCGCCGATCCGCTTGTTTCAAGCTCGGGCCACAGCCCAATCTCACAGCCCCATCACTTCCGAAACAGAGCCGTTGAGACTTCGCCGATCCGCTTGCTTCAAGCTCGGACCACAGCCGAATCACAGGCACATCACACCCGAATCAGAATCAAAGCCTTTGAGAGTTCGCCGATCGGCTTGTTTCATGCTCTGAGAAATCACCGATCCACTTGTTTCAAGCTCTGAGACATCGCGAGTGCACCTGCTATAAACTCTGAGAAATCTTCGATCTGCTTGTGTCCATCTCTGAGATATCCGCGATAAAAAGTCTTTCTCAATCAGTTTCTTCAGAAACCTTCATTGAAACTAAGATGACTTGCATCGAACTCTGAGAACTTGCCAACCTATGTATTTCAAGTTCTGATACATCGCCGTTCCGTCTCAGAATCACACTGCCACATCAGAACCGGATCACAGCCTCTG